AAGGATGTTAAATTTAATTACATTATGGTCACTGTTATTGAGTGGTGCAGCTATTCTCATCTCTTGGATGTGCTCGTGTGTTCCATTTAGGACTAAATCAAGAAATGCCTCTCCCCTTTTGGGTTCCAGGACTAGCTGTTCAAAGTAGTAGTTATTAATGGAGGGTCCTATGGCACCTTTAAGACTAACAGAAGTATTGGGAGCATAAGCTTTCGTGGGTAAGAACCTCACTTCTTCAGATGCAAGGCAGATGCATCTGAAGAAGAAGTGAGGTTCTTACCCACGAAAGCTTATGCTCCTAATACTTCTGTTAGTCTTAAAGGTGCCACAGGACCCTCTGTTGCTTTTTACAGATTCAGACTAACACGGCTACCCCTCTGATAGTTATTAATGGTGGCTAGAAATTTTATTTCTGCATCCCCTTCTGAGGTGACATTTCCCAGTCAATATGGGGATAATTGAAAACCTCCATTATTATTGCGTGTTCAATTTTGTAGCCTCTCAAATCTCCCTGAGCATTGCACAGTCACCGTCACTGTCCTGGTCAGCCATAGGCAGTATGTTTCTGCTGCTGTACTCTTATTATTCAAGCATAAAATTTTAAAATTTTTATCTATAGAGATTCTGTGGTACAGTGTGATTTATTTAAGATGTTTTACTATATTTGAGTCTATGCTTTCTTTGACATGGAGAATTATGTTAGCCGATGTTGCCAAGCTAACATTTGCATGATATTAATAAGGCTTCAGAAATGATGCCTAGTTAATTACTCTCTTGACTAAAGTACCCCATTGAGGCAAATGAATAAAAACCTAACACACTTTTTGGTTTTACATAAATAATAAATGGTGATGAATAGGAATAGTTTGTATTTTTGAGCTATTTTGTCATGTAATTCTGGGTTGCAGTCTTGTGAAATCTCAAGCTAAGCAGTTACCCCTGTGAATCCTTGGATGGGAAACCTCCAAGGAAAACATGGTGTGCCTCAAGATGGTGCTGGAGCTTCAGCAGCTTGGCCAATCAGTGTCCAAGATCAGTGTTGGGAAGCATTTTGCTGTGCAGATGCTATATTTCAGGTGAGATGTAAGCAAACAAAATCTGAAGTCATGACCATTTGTGATCACTAAAAATTTCATTTCACTTTTTGCAAGAGGGTAAGGGAGCTAGTCTGATCAAATTCTAAATTGTGTAATAAGGTCCACCTACCTAAATTCCTCTGTGGTTCATATTGGATGCGGAATTCTTCAGTTTCAGTAGTGTAGCATTTAACAATAGACACACACTTCTGCTTTATTATACCTTAGGTGTGGCTGCTTTTCTGTGGCGGCTGCAGGTATTTTTTTTTTTTTTGGTGCATAACCTATACAGCCCTTGGGATCTTTCAGGACAGAAAATGTTACATAGGGCTACCATATGTCCGGATTTCCCCGGACATATCCGGCTTTTCGGTCTATAAATAGCCGTCGGGGGAGGATTTTTAAAAATCTAAAAATGTCCGGGATTTCCCCCTGGTCGGCTATTTATAGATAGAAAAGCAGCGGCCAAGCGCCGCTGGGCACCCAAAGCTCCTTTCCGGCTCCCCCCATCCCCTGCAGCCTTACCATGCTGTCCGGCCCGCAGCTGTCTTCCCCCTCCTCCCCTCCCCTGAATGCTCCGCCCCCTGCTCCTTCCCCTCCCCTGCTTCCCGCGAATCAGATCTTCGCGGGAAGTCTGAAAAGAAGCAGGGGCAGGCGGGAGGCAGCAGCAGGTAAGCTGGGGCGGAGGGGGCGCGAGGAGGAGAGCTCCGGGGAGGCGCGGCCCTGGCCAAGCGGCTCCCTCCGGCCCTGGCCGAGCGGTGCCCGGCTGCCCCCGCGGCTCCGGCCCAGCTCGGACCCCAGCACCCCCAGCCTGGACCTGGCCCGGCTCGGGCCCTAGCACCCCCAGCCCGGACCCGGCCCGGCTCGGGCCCCAGCACCCCCGGCC